AAAAAAAAAACAGCAAAAAAAAAAAAAGGCAAGGCGAAGATCAAAGTCGACAAAAACTGTTGTTGTCTAAAATTTGTGTGTGTGTGTGTGTGTGTGTAATTTGGTGGTATCTGAATGTGCGTATGTATGAGTCGATGTATTCTGCTGCACATTTTGATGTATCAACGCTGATGATGATGATGGTGATGGCGACAACAGCAACAAATAGCAACAACGATCATTGACGATACAACCAACCAACTATCATCGTCTGTTGATGAGGCTTTTGTCAGCGGCCAACAACTACATATTGGTCATCATTAAATCATCTTCATCACACATTACCATCAAACTATTATCATCAACACAAAAGCTTATCTCCGTTATGACAACAGCAGTATAAAATTAGGAAAGAAAAAAAAATGAAAATTTTAGAAAGAAAAGAGGAATTTTTTTTTCTTACTTTTATAATCTCTAATGTTATAAGTGTTGTTCCTCAAAATTCAACTGCAAAATTTTTTACTGAGAAAATCTTTTCAGTACTCAACCACTGTTTCCCTAAAACTGTATCAAACATTTATAGCAGCAACGTTTTTCCACTTCTACAATCCATACCTGGTTCGGTTCATCCGCATTCCGTCTTTCACCGCTTCCTTCACCTCTCCCAGTACAAATTTCAGGCTACTTGACAATTTTCCAAATGACCTAGTTTAAAATAGCACAAATTTACAGCTGAGTCTACAATACAACAGATTTTATTCAGTAATTTTTTTCACTTGCACAAAAAAAAAAGTGATTTAAAAAGATATTGAAAGTGGAAAAAAAAAGGAAAAGAAAACAGATCTTTAGGATAAGCTTTCGTCTAAGCTAAAAGCAACTAACTGTGGAGAAGGAACAAGAATAACAAAAAGAAAACAATTCTTCCTCATACATTTCAGCATTTAGTAATCACCTTGGAAATCAAAAAGCAAGCAAAAAAAAAGAACTATGGAATAAAAAATAAAGCAGAATAATCAATGAAAAATTTATTGAAATCTATTGACGAGCGTCTATTTTTTTTTTTTTTTCTTGTTGTTGTTGTTGTTGTTTTTGGACAAAACCGTAGCCATTTCTTCGTTATAACGGTGTGGCAAAAATGGGCAGAAACCGAGACTGATCAGTGGAGACGACGAAGTGGTGCCGTGGCTGGCAGAGGAGATTGAAATGCGGGGGAGGTGGGTGGCGCAGGAAGTAAAGAAGGCAAAGTCTTTTCAGTTAAATATGTTGTTATACGCCTCATTTTTTCTTACTGCCCACTACAGAAATACGATAGAGATGGAAAAAAATGTTTTTTTTTTTTTTTCCAGAAATATATTAGTTAAGGGAGGTAGCAATAAAAATGAAGAGAACTCTGATTGGGAACTTGGTGGAATACAAACGGTTTTTATTTCAAAAAATGTGACGGAAAAAAATTGGAAATACCGGAGAGAGATATGATCGGATTTTGGTGGAGTAGAGTTATTGCTGAAAGTGAAAAGAAAATGGATAAATAAATTAGCGGACATTGTTATTGGCAATACAAAATGAAAACAAATGAAACAAAAAGAAACAAAATCTGGAAAGATGTTGCCGCATTTGTACAGCTTTAGATGCTTCCCAAAGTTGAGTTGCTAGGCTCCTGTTGCTGCAGTTGCCAATGACGGTGATGCTGAAGGTTGGTTTGTAAAACAGTTATCAATAACTACGCGTAATAAGTTTATAGAATGGAAAACCATTTTTTTACCACTGTTTTTTCGTTCTTTCAAATATTTATTTAAATTTTTTTTTCATTTTGTTTGATATCGCATTAATCGTATTGCTTTCTATTCTATCTTTTTCTGGATTGCTAACGTTGTTTTGGCTTTTTTCCCAAGCTGTATTCGGACGATAACCGAGTTAGATCGTTTTCCTATTCACAATCATCTGTTCCTTCAACCCCATTTTACCTTTCCGCCTCGCACTTTGTGCTCATCTAAAAATCGACCACAGTATCGAAAATTGTTTGTTAAGCTTTATCCCAACTTTTTTATGCTTCTCCGAAAGGTATTCAGCAGCAGTAAGAAGAAATTCCAAAAAATAAATAGATAAATAAAAAATTTCAAAAAAAAAGGAAGGTTTGAAATATGGAACAGAAAAGTGGTTGATCAATAAAATTGGAAAAAAAGCTGACTATGCATTTAGCTGTTACTTTTTTTTCCTTTTTTAGAAGGATTACCACATAAAAATTCGTTGCAAAAAAGAGAATCAGATCATCTGTGATGCAGAAAACAGGAAGCCGTAGGGCTTCTATGGATCAAATTCTATTCAGTTTTTACCCCGCTACAGAGACCGTCCAGGAGACAGTTGTGGAAACTGAGATCGGAGCAGAAGAAAGGGAAAGTAAATGGGGGGGAGGGGGAAGTAGGAGAAGAATGGGGTTGAAAAAGTGAA